TGTACATACATATGTACGATTTAGTATCTGACGCTTAGGAAGTATGGTGTATTTTGTGCGCATACAGACTTTCGTAAAATAACGAGCATTTCGTAGCGTGTAAGGCTTCAAACGTGTTGGTCATGTGTTTAGGTTTCATTTCTATTTTCAGTGATTCATGCCGGGTTACTTAGACTTTTCCCTCTTGACTTAAGTTTGTCCGGGAGTCTAGATGTTGCAAATCTGTCAAAACATAGGGCAAAGTTCACACACCTTGCAAATCACCCCAATGCCAAGTAAATAAATATTGTTAGGATAAATATTGTTGCTTCACTAGCCTTTATGCTAGATATTGAGGTAAGTATTAACATTAAATAGAAAACCTTGCATAGGCCAATATTCAGCTCAGCTGAGCATTCATGCGAAGTCCCGTTTAAAACTCATAGCACAAGATTCGAGTCCTAATAGCAGCCAAACAAACAATATATTACAATTTCTGTTGGTAGTTCCTGACAGATATTACCTGACTGTAAATAAAAAATAAGTTTTTTCTTTTTTTAAAAGAAAATTGACTTTAAAGGGCAACTCCGGCCAAAACTCAAAATGAAATAAATTACTGGTATCGCTGTAGTGACACAAAATACGACTCCGGCCAAAATATTACGTCCGTAGGACGCCGCATTCTCAACTAATGCCGATAACAAAAATGCGAGCCGCTGCTCCTTAGCGGGCGGCCAGTGGGTTGCCGATCGCTAAAGCAACATTGGGCCGTGACGTCTGCAACATTCTCTTTTTTTCCTCCGGTGCGGGCGTTGCGCTTCTTTGAGCCGCTACCACTGCTACTTCGGCTTGTGATTGACGTGTTTAGCCGTTGCTTTTATCTGTAGCCCGTGTAGCTTCGGTATAGCCTTTTGTTTATTTGCTTGTGAGGACTTTAAAGGACACATGCAAAGGAAAAAAACATTTTTTTCAAACGGCTTAGATGGAAAAAGGACGCCATAAAACGATTTTACAACGAAGAAAAATTTTTTTAGAGCTATATTTACGGCGCAAAACGAATTTGTAGTTGGCGCCCGCGGGCACCGCGGAAAAGTGGTCTGTATTTATCACGTGACTGGTCTTTATTTATCACGTGGTGCTTGCGCTCTTTCGGAAGCTTCCTATGGCCTCTAAAAGTAACTTATTCATCTTTGTTCGAAGTATAACAAAAAACCAAGACGAATAAGTAACTTTTAGATCCCAAAGGAAACTCCTGAAAAAGCGCAAGCAGACGTGATAGACCTGTGCGCCGGTCAGACGACGGCGGCGGCGACGGCGGCGTGGAGAAACGCGTTGAAGCGGCGGCGCGCGGGCCTACCACGTGACCAGCGGCGGCTCCCGCGAGCGCCAACTACAAATTCGTTTTGCGCCGTAAATATAGCTCTAAAAATTTTGTTTCTTCGTTGTAAAATCGTTTTATGACATCCTTTTTCCATCTAAGCTGTCTAAAAAAAATTTTTTTTTCCTTTGCATGTGTCTTTTAAGACTCGTTTTAGCGAGCAACTCGGTGCGCCTAAGACTGCCCAGCTGTTCCTCGAAAGATGCCGAATGCAACTTGTAGCGCTGTGGGCTGCTCAAACAACCCTCTGCGCAACACGGAGGTGCTTTTTCACAAGTGTCCGACGGACCGGAAATTGAAGGTGTGGGTGAACGCTGTTCGACGAGTGGACTTTGGCTTTTACACACCGAGGAAAAAAGAACGAAAAGCAGTCGTGTTCAGCCCAGCACACGTGTGTTCGGGCGCCGCGGCCCACGCCGGAGCCTAAAACCTGTGTGTTTGGGACTGACCCGCAGCGCGAAAGCGAGAGGGCCCCCAGTACTGCACGTCACTGGCAGCGCGGCGTAAAGCAACGCCGCCCCATCCACAAAGCCCAGATGGCAATTTAGGCCTAGCGACGAGTACGGAAGACCACACACACGGCGACAGCCGCCGAGTACGGCACCGAACGAGTTCACTTGTTTTCCAGTCGCTAGCTTTTGGGTATACAAGCGCCGAGTACGGCATAGCGCACGCACGGCGGTGGCCGCCGAGTACGGCACCGTACGAGTTCACGGGTTTTTGAGTCGCTAGCTTTTGGGTATACGCACTAACTCTTGCTAGATATGCTCGATAACTACCACGTATACATAATTACAACCAATATCAGCTGACCTCCTATCTTTAGACGGCTAGCGCAACAAAGGTAGGTGGCGCTCGGCCTGCGTACTCGTTGAACGAGAACGATCGTGACGTCACATTCACATAGCGGCTGATTTCCAGTGTTGCCGGGGCCTCGAGCGGCTAGTTTCGGTTTTGTTGGCCGCGCCCCCAAAAAAACTTTCAGGCGTCGATATCTTTAAAACTACGCAAAATAACGAGAAAAAAATTACCCTTGCAATTCAGGGACGCTGACTGCACTAAAAACAGTCATAATCCCAAAACTGAAAGTATGGACCAGAGTTGCCCTTTAAACTTGGAAGTTTTTCTTAATATTTGTTTTTCAGGCAAATGTTCTGCATTATATGCTTAGTGCCAAATATTAAAATTATACTCAAAAGAAATAACTTAATTGGAGCTTTACCGTGATGTAAAAATCATAAAAATATATTGATTAGGTCACACAGCACAGCTTGCTGAACTTTGTCACATATTGTTACAAAAAAGCAATTTAACAAATAAAAAAAATTAAAGATATGATTAAACGCTTTATTAACATAACTCGCTGTTTCCATCTTTTATTAAAGGAATTTACACGCAGCTACTACAAATTTCAGGAGTTAATTATGAGCTAGTGTATTTTTGTGAGTCACATGTATTACTGCTCGACAAGTGAACAGAAAACAAAATGAAAGCTTTTATAGCCGCCATACAAACAAAATATTACATTTTCTATTTATTTTACTTTATAAAGTACTGCAATAGGTAGCTAGAGAAAAACAATTAGCCAAATAAAAGCTAGGCTTTTTAGAAAATAGACTTTCGCAACATTTTTTAAATAGTCCCTGCTTTACGAGAAAATACTGCCCTTTCTCTTTTACACACAACATCAAATTTGTTATCATTAGAAGGAGTATACTCTAAGCTTTCTGAAATACTAAATATGTTAAGACACCTCATACAGGTCACAAGAAAGACCTGGTAAACTTTGAAAGGTATCGGCCAAAAAAGTCATATTGGCAAATTTTCTAGAATATATTTGATAAAAATAACTGCGTTAAAATTATTTATCAGAGAATAAGTGTGTTCACAGGTATCTATCAAAAAATAAGAGGCACCAATTATGAATTGGTGCAGTTTTGCAAGTAAGTTGATTTACTGACAAAACAGTCGAACAAAATCAGACTTCAAGCTTTTATAGCTGCCATACAAACAAAATATTACATTTTCGTTTTATATTACCTTAAAGCACTGCAATAGCAGCTAAAAAAAAAAAAAAAAAATCGGCCAAATAAATTTTTTTCTGTAAGATCGACCTCTAATTTGCAAAAAATTTGAAATAGTTTTTGCTTTACGAGAATACACTGCCCTTTCTCTTTTAAACACAACATTAAATTTGGTATTAAAAGAAAGAGTAATCTCTCAGCTTTTTGAAAATAATAAATATATTACGATATCTTAAGTAGGTCACGCGGAACAGCTGGTCAAACTTTGACAAATATTGTCAAAGGGACACACTTTGACAATATTTAAAAGAAAAGCGAAGATAGATAATCACAACAAAATTATTGGTCATACATTATCCTTATTCTGAGACTGGTCAAAAAATGTCACATTGCGCTGCAAAAAAAAAAAAAAAAAAAAAGTAAAAAGTTGAAAGCAGTGAAACATGACACCTCCCACAGGCGAGAACAAGGTCAGTTTGTGCCTTGGCTGCTTAAAATGTCCATAACCCAATATTTAAAAAAAAAAAAAAAAAAAAAAAAAAAAAAAAAATCGCCCAAACTTGCGGTTTTTACTCCCTGTCACAAAAAAGTTTTCACAGAGACATATATTTTTTCGTCAAAATTAAAAATTTGACCCCAAATCTATGCTTGAGTTGAGATGAAACCACCCAACTGCTTTTTTAAAACAAGTCTGTTAAGCTTAAAAAACAAAACAAATAAAAGGCGTTCACGAACCTCTGCAAGAGAAATTAGAGTGCAGCTATTGAGGAGGGGGAGGAGATGGTACGGAGGGGAGGGCATGACTCTCCCCTCCTCACAGTTTCTCTGCTAAATTCAGCTGGAAAATCAATGCCACATGACCCCAACACCATTTCAGTTTTGCCGCTAAATTTAGGAAGGAAATCGATGCTACACGACCTCGCGTCACGTCACCCATGAACAAATTCAGTTTCTACGCTAGATTCAGTGGGAAAATTGACGTCACGTGACCTCCTTAATAATTCTATTTCCCGCTAAATTTAGCAGGGAAACTGAATCAGCGTGAGGTCATGCAACGTCAGCTTTATCGCTAAATTTAGCGGATTTACACCGACAGTGACGCCGCTACACGCGGAAACAGGCACCTAAGGGTTGCGCTCCAGAAAAACCAGCCTGCCTTTTGCAGAGCTGGATTGGCTGGGATAGCTCATTGCATCTGCCGTGTTCCCATCGCGCAATAAAAACGGAGTACAGCCTGTCCCGTATGCAATTCTATGCTGTACTTCCTATACTAATGTGCGTCCCCCTTTTTAGAAAAACATACCCTAAAAAATACTGCTTACACACTAGGATTGGATACGAGACCGAAATCGGGGGAACGTCTCAACAGGGTAAAAGTAGGACTCCTTTTCCGCACAACCTGGCAAAGGGAGAAAGCCACGGCTCCAAGAGCCCACCGAGCCGACGGCACGCCGCCACGTGCCCCAGACTGGTGCGCCGGGTCCGCAACTCTTTGCCGAGTCGCGTCGAAACAGTTCCCCCCTTGGGCGTCCCGGCAGTCAAACTGAGAAGACCGCCTAGCCGCCAACAACTTGCCAACAGAAGAAACCGCTTGTGAGACAGGTGGAAGAGGTACACACCCTTGTGGTCCGTCTGCAACAAAGGCACACACACAGTCAATGCCGGGGAAGCTCCCCAAGCTCAATGTTGCTTCCGTTTAAATCAAAGAACGCAACTAAAAGAACATAGCACGGAAGTCAAGACTCAAGACTAGGAAAGGACCCGACGAAACACTCGCTGCCACATTCCTTCCTGGAACCAAAACCGTTAATCTTGGGCTTTCTGCGTTTCCATAACATATCCCGTCCCAACCGTCAATGTTCGCCTCACCGGCCCCAAATAATGCTGCTCACAGTGCCCTTCCGACGTGCCGTAGCCACTCCCCCCCCCCCCCCCCCCCTATTGTCCACAATGCGAGGCATCCCTAACGACGAGACAAGAATGCATTTACACAATTCATCCCCAACACTTACCGCCGAATTCCCAAACCTCACTCCAATTGAGGGGCCCCTCCACTTCCTCGAGGAAGGCGCGCTGGCCAATTGCTACGAGCCTAGGCCGCCTATTCGTCGTCGCGATTGGCCAGCGCCGTCCCTTGCGCCTTCCTCGAGGAAGTGGAGGGGTGACTCAATTGGAGTGAGGTTTGTGAATTTGGCGGTTAGTCTACATAGCGGGGTATCCATATTAATGAGACACAAAGTATACCCCTGAAAGCCGGTTCCCACAGTGGCGATTCTCCCCGCACGTCTCGACTCGACGCTCGTCAAGCTCCGCGATAGGCTAGTACTTTCGGCATTCGGCACGCCACAAACTCGAGGAGGAATCTCCCGCGAGCCTAGACTAGCGGCCGATCGCTCGGAACATTACGTCCTTCGGACCGAAGAAGCCCGAGGCTGGTTTGCACATTTGCCTTTGTGTGCGAGTGCACCAAAACAACTGCTTGCAACGTGAGAATGCGGTGCAGCCTCCACCAAGGAACACCCCTGCATAAATTTTGAAAATATTTTACGCATAATTTTTTACTACATTCTCAAATGTTATTGATGTCTGTCAACTTGAGGTTTTTTATGGTCATAACTCAATCTATGGGCTCTAAGCATCCTAAAAAAACCAAACATTACATTAAGGAGGGGCCCATTTCTATGTTAAAATTGGTGTCGAAGATTGAGTACCATGGAATGTAATGTTTGGTTTTTTAGGATGCTTTTGGAGCCAATAGATTCTGCTATGACCATAAATAGACTATCGCAGACAGTGGTTTGGTGTCCATTTAAGCCTCTCAGCAAAATGTGGGCGGTCTGAAACTTTTACGGGTACAGCCAATTTGACATTGAGCTCGCTCTGATCTTTGAGCATTCACTCAGAACACACCAATGGCACTGAGAGCGTAAAGCTATACATTGGGGCATGTGCACATGGGAAAAGACTTTAGGAGCCTGGCAGCAAGCTCAAGGCATCTTACGATTTAGAATGGACAACTGTCTTCGAAATCGAAAAATATTAAAAAAAAAAGTTATTGCTAGACTTTGTAGGAACTATTACAAAGCATATCACTTGAGAGCACGAACATGAAGTTGTTTTCAGTATACTGCATGCCAACACAGTTGAGTCGACACCAAAATATGCCCCGCAACAATATCATCCCACTGGAATCTACAAAATGTGGCGGGGGCACTATAGTGAGTTACGGCTCAAAAAGATGGTGCAAGGGAAAGGAAGGTCAGAGAGGGGGAAACAGATGCGGGAGAAGAGAGGGGGAAACAGATGTTGGAGAAGAGAGGGCTTCCCCCTCTGCTCTCCAGCACTCCGTCTGCCTCCTCCTCCCTGGCCTCCCTTTTCCTTTGTTCTACCTTGGCGAGTTCGAACGGACTATAGGGTGTTGTAACCTCCTGGCCATCTTACAGCTTACTCTACTCGGTTCAGTGTGGCTTGGCAGGATAAAAGGCCCCAGCGAGCTATAATCAGTGCCAAGTGAAGCATGTCACCGACTCTCAGACCTTTTTAGTGGAGAGCAGTAGCATACTTTGTTCATCACTGATTGGCTAACGTGGGCCATATCTTTTGCCCTTTGTCAATTTATGCAACAGCTGGCCACTATAAGCAGTCAGGATTTCCAAAGGCAGGAACTCTTCTAGACTGACTAAGAACTGCACTTTGCCTAGTAATAACGGTAACCATTATTAGCAAACTCATTAAAGGTATCTGCATGACACAGATGCCTTAAACTGCTTAGCCCATTTCACAAATTAATAAAGGTATAAATGGTACTGCCATAAAACTGGCTAATTATAAAGTAACAACACACTGAAAACTGGCAAGGATATAGACACATGAAAGTGTTGACATTTGTTTTGAAGCACACAGGATATTTTCTTCTGAGCTCTATAACTTGCTCTAAGGTAGTTAAGTTACCTAAGCTAAAATGTAATTAGGTTTACATTAGATTTTTACCCTCTACAACCTAATTTTTCACATTTACATTTTTTTATTTGGAAAAAAATAGCTAAGCGAAATTTTAATTTCTTCTAGGATATCCCCTTGACTTCAATGTGCGCCGAGACAGTAAGAGGTAACATGTGTATTTGTTCTGAGTAGTGCACGTAAATTAATGAAGCCAGCTACTAAAATTCCAATGCAACTTGGTAAATATTCTGCTACTGAAACAGCACCTATTCCAGTAACGAAAAGAAAACTTCCAGCAAGCTCTGACTTCAGTTGCATAAATTCAACTGAAAGAATTCAATTAAAAGATAAAGATAGCACTGTAAAAACGAGAAAGACAAACTTCTTAGATTTACAGTCACACATTAATCTATGTATTTGTTACAAAACAAAAAGAAACCCACCTTTTGGGCCTTCTTCTTTGAGTCGTCGTCATCATTTAACTGCAAAAGAAATGCAGAACACATAAGAGACCTTTCAACAGCGAGCACAAGGCAAACCTAGCTTAGAAACCTGGGGCATTGCCCTATCGATGAATGGTGATGAAAGCGGCACTCAATATTTTGTAGCAGGCAAAATAATGGTTTGGAGCAGCCACCAATTCTTTTAGAGCAGACGCCAACATCCGTTGGCGTGCCACTTGAAAATGAACAAGGGAATGCATCATTCACCAATGATCTTAAATGACAATTGAAGCTTCACTTTTAATACTGAAGCGTATTACCATATTTTCCGGACTATAAGTCACGCCCTTGTATAAGTCGCACATCCGTATATTGAGCCGTTTTCGTGAAAAAGTTGGTATACAAGTTGCACTTCTTTGCATGGTTCACGCAAGGAATTCTTCAGCTTACGCGCATTTCGACTCGAGAGAAATGCCCATACTATGGTGCTGTCTGGCAGGGGCAATCGAGTGTTTCGCAGCAAAAGGATGTAAAATGTGTAAAATGAAAGGGTAGTCGACTTTTTGAGCGAACGAAAGTTTAAGGAGCTAGACACTAGCGAACCAAGCTTTGGAGCACTAGGCCTAGCCTAGGCCAAGTCTTGAAGAGAACGCGAGCATCAATGCACAGGCAGAAAGATAAACTTCGAGATACTTTTTTTTTTGGGGTACCTCTAAAAGATTGGCTAGCCACAATCCTTCCTTTTACGTGCAGCAACACGCCTGGAGCATGGCAGAAAAAAACTGTTCACCAAACGGAAACTGAGAACGACGTGAGAAAATATTCTGCAATGCATGCATACCAGCCCACTTACTTCTTAGTGTTACTGGACTGAAGCAAGAGAATACAGAACCATGGCTTAACTAGGCAACACCAATAACATGCTGTAAAAGCTTTATTCTCCCCGTCTTGCCTATCCGCACTGAGCCACATTGGGGAAACCATAAAAATTAAAATATCACGCATTAAGAGTCAAAATAGTGCGGCGACAGCAGTGCCTCCTGGAGGGGGAAATGCCACCTACAGTGACGTAGTTATGGTACTTTATAAAAAAAATGGCGCACGGCATATAAAAAAAAAAAAGAAAACTTATAAGTTGCATTGTTATACAAGTCGCACAAAAAAAAAAAAAAAAATGTGATTTATACATTGGAAAATATGGTACTTATTATCTTTTGTAATAGATAGGACACGAAAGGAGCACACAGCTTCTTTTCTTTTCAGAAACAAGGCTTAGGCAAAGAAGCAAAATAAAATTAAAAAATGAAGCACACCTCAACATTTCATTTGAGATAAAGCCTTTTCCCCCTACTCTCTGTAGTAGTTTATGCAATTAAAAATCCCTTAAAATGCCAGAAAAAACCAGCATATCCGCTAAAGCACATCTACCAATAAAATCATGCCTTCCGTCACTTCCTTTGACTACTGCACAAAAACTACCTTGATTAACCTATTTAATCTAATATCCAACCCCCCACACCCCCCTTTTTTTGGCAGCGCCTTTTTGAACTTTGACACCAACCTACAGCCGAGACCAAAGGAGGTCGGCCCATAATGGTACTTGGCACAATTTCCGAGCCTATCGCTCTGATCCGGGCGCTCCCCCACGCCAGTTGCTGCTCCGAGCACTTCGGTGCAGAACGGTGAAGCTCGACACCAGCAGTACAAGTACGCTGCGATTGTAGCCAAGGCAGGGATGCGTGAAACAGACAAAATGAAGTGATTGGGGGTAAAAGACCCTAGCTCTGAACTACCACAGTAGCCGCCATCCCACTCTTTTGCAAACTTTTCTCGCGACTGCTATGCCCTAATGTCACCCACATCGTCTGAAAATTCAGACAACCACGGGGCCAGCAAGGTTGACAAGCAATTTCTAAATGTTTTATTTGAAGTCGTGTTAAGTGCAGCTAATGCTACGAACCGAGGCACCAATGAAACAGCATCAAAAGCCTGACATTGCGGCATTTGTAATCTTTATGTAACTGTTCTCTTATCAGCCAAATTAATTTTAAGCGCTGCAAATGACCGGTGACTTCCGCTTTTTAGTATGTGTTCCGAGCCCTCGACTGTGCTCCAACCTAAGATGAAAGTGAACTATGCAGTGAGTAGACACATTGTGAAATAACATTCATACCATTTTCCTTTCCTTCTACTTGTCCGAATAGTAAAATCAACTACTAAAAATACTTGCACTTTTTGCTTTGTTTAAGCTCGTCTTGGCACAGGCATAGCGCAATTCTTCGCAAAAATTGCCATTTGGCTCAAGATGTGGCAGACTTTCGTCCCAAGGCACAATTTGGTGCAGCGCTTCCATCACTCCTGTTAGAATAAAGTAGAACTTATTGGGGAATGCCCCAGACTCCCGCAACTTTCTCCCCACAATTCTCGTAGATTTCCTGGCTGACTGGCATGTTGTATGCCAGTCTTATTTTACCCTGTCTCTGTCACTGCACACATGCCAATGCACTGGACCGTAATTCCCTGAAGCCTGTAGCTTCCTTCGAAATTCTAATAACTGCTTGAACAGGGTCAGAATTTTTTTTTTGTTTTTTTTGCAATATAAGTTGCATCATTTGACTGTGCTTTTTCAGTAGTACAAGTAGACCGAGCAGTTGGTGTTTATTGTGGTCGAGTTTTATTTTTCCACATCGGCAATTGAATTCTTTGCGAAACAAAATTAGAGGACCATGTCATATTTAAAGGGCAGCTCTGGCCAACGTTTTTTTAATTCGGGATTACGACTGTTTCCAGCTAAAGCAGTGGCCCTGAATTACAAGGTGTGTTTTTTTCCCTTGATACTGCGTGTAGTTTTATAAATGTCATGGCTCAAAGTTTGGTGTCGAGCTTTTACGGCAAAACAGAAGACGCCAAAACAGAAAAGAAACTATCTGCTAGGGGGATGGCAACACTGATCATCAGCCACATACATGGCTGCGACGTCGTGGTGGTGCTGCGGTACAGCAAATCGAGCACAGTTTCACCATGATGTGACGTCACAAGGGTGCTGCGCGAGTGTTCCTAGACTAAAAGCTAATCCACTTGCTGCCCGCCAAAAGAGCAGCGGGTCGCATCTTTAAAGTCGGTATTAGCGGAGAATGCGGCTTCACGTTAACGTAATATTTCGGCTGCCATCGTATTTCATACCACTAGAGTGATACCAGTCATTTATTTTGGTTTCATTTCCGACCGGAGTTGTCCCTTTGAGGGATAATTAAGCAGATAATGGAAGGTGCACACCCCATGCTCTCCACATCTAGATATGGGCAAGCGACACCTGCCACGTGTTTTGGTCCCTCATAAAACAACACCTCTTGCCGTTGCACGCCTATTTAGTGTTTTGGAAGAATGCTATTATCTCCCGGCTAATTAATTGGCCCAGGGTTCTTTAGTCATGACGGAAAGCTCATCTCACTTGAGACGAGACCTTCACATCTTACCTTTATTAAGCGGTAGCCAAAGAGCATAAATCCTGGCGCTGTTCGAATTGCGGGTCTTTCGCTCACACCCTCTAGTTGTTGACAAAATGAGCAGAGCGTGGTATACTCATCCTGTTAATAACTGCTAATACTTTTTAAACTGGAACAATATTGCCAGTTTCTACTGTCCTTATTTGTAGCTCAAAGCTGCATTCACTACACAGCGAATAACACTAAACTCCATCAAGCACACCAGATCGGTGATCACCCTGCATTTCTGCTGCTACTGCTACTCCTTTCTTTCTTCTTCCTCCCCCTCCCCCCCCCCTCTCCCAAAGAAAAAAATAAAAGATCTGAGGAAGGAGGATCCCTGGAGCGCCCAGCTCAGCTAAACTGGGACTGGCGTCCAAGTTACTAGTCAGCAAGGGCATTGGTCGGGATATCTCCGCTATAATCTTGCGCGTGTGTCAGCGCACAGAGGCCGAACGTTCAAGATCCTCGAGTTCCTTCACCGGTTATCGTCAGACTCGACGGAGAATGCCAGTTTCGCAGACCGTTCTCAACTTCGCGCAATGCCACCTCGAAGCGTATCAAAGTGCCACGACCGTAACGCCATCTCGGGACCAGAGTCGAACGCACGCCGCTCTACCCCCAACCGTTGCAACGGACGGTACCCCCGCGCGCGCAGACGTTGGCCCAGGTGTTTTCGGCGGCGGCGGCGCCTTCGGTGACGTCACGCGTCTCCCCGCCAACCGCCCCCGCTACCGACCAATCGGAGCGCGGCCGGCTCGCCGTGCGCCCACCAATCAGCGGGCGCGCGCACGTTTGAAGGTGAGCTTGAAGGACGCCGCCGCGCCGCCGGCCTGCTTTCGGAAAGGCCGACGCCGCGAGCGAGCGCCATGCCGCCGGCCAACATGGCGACGTCAGCCTGCGTCGCAGACGACCGAAGAAGACACTCCACCGCAGTCGGAAATGTCCGCTAAAGCGTGAGGAGGCCAATTCTTCTCCCTCGCAGAAAACACGCACATTTCCGGCAATCGAAACCGGTTGCCTGCCGCGCGGCGGCGAGAGTTGGGCCGTTAAAACAAAGCGGTGTGGGACTGCCTCCCCGTGACTCTTGGCCTGCCGACTAAATTTAGAAGGAGGCCGGCGGGCGCCCTCGCGACCAACACCGACTCACGCAACGACGTCACGCTGCCCCGGTATCGTCAGCGCTCGTCCCCCCGGGAAAGGCGACCGACGACTAGCCTAACACTCGACTCGCCGCCACCGCACTTCGCAACTATCGATCTCGGAAGCTCAGAGTTGCTCCGCGAACCACTACAGGTTGTCCCCGAACGCTAACCGCTCACTTTATTTTATATTTTTTTTTTCGCCAACATTTTAGAAAACGAGAGGCCTTCGGCGTTATCCGACGCCTCCGCCAGAAGTTTGCCGTCGGGCGATAACGAAACGACGCAGACCGCAAAAAATAAGATCAAATGCGAGGGTGGCGAAGTTCGAAGGCCGGTCCTAAAATCTGCACACCGAACTCCGGTGCGGCGAAACGAAAAACGACGACGTCCGTTTATAAATAACCTTCCGCTTGCGCTGCCTCCGGAAACTTACGGACATGACTCGGCGCAAAAACAAACGGTAGAATAATAATAAACATAAAAAAACGGCGCCGAAAGCTCGCATCCGTAGGGCATCTTTTTGTTTTGTCGTTGTTTTGTAATCGCCGTTTTTGGTAGTGTTGAGTTCGTTGCCGTGCGGCTTCGCGGTGAAGCCGAACGCTATGTTGGGCCGCCGGCTTTCATTGATGGATCGAAGACGCCGCTCACTGCTTCGGCGAGCGGGACGACCTCGTACGACTTCCCGCCAAGACGACGTCGGCGTCGCTGCCGACAAGTTCGGAAGCGATAGCGCGTTTCCGCGTTCACGAACGTAAACAAGGACTGGCCGCGCGCAGAGCGGAATCCGTCGACGGAACATCCTCGGAGCCCGCAAGAAATTATACAGACAATTCGATCCGAGTGCATAAAAAGGAAGAAAAACAACGGCGATGAGGAGCCAGCAACAGCCGAGACGACGCAACTCGCACAGCAGCCGGCGTTAGGCTTAACTCATAATGATTTTTTTTTTTTTTTTTTTCTTACACCCGTTCGAGTACGCGGGAACCGGCGACTTTGATCACGCCGCGCTTCGAAAAAGGATTCGGAACAGCGTCGAGGGGCTGTTGCGATCGCGTTTTCGGTCCAAGCACGGGCAGCGGAGGCGAAGTAGCGGCGCCTGGAGCGAGCGCGCTGTCTGCAAAGCCGGCATCGTGGAGGCGCCCGCTTTGCTCGGCTTCCAACAGACATAGCCGGCGCCGTAATGCACTCACCTCAGACGCGGACCGTTTCTGGGGCGATTTCTCCGTCTTGGCGTCCCCGGCCGACTTCTCCTTGGCCGAGATGACTTCGTCGGCCGGCTGCGTGGCCACATCGCCCTTGTTCTCAGTGGAACTCATGATTTCTGCGCGAAAATCCGGAGAGCCGACCAGCCACTCGCCTTTGTTCAAATTCGTAAAAATGGCGCGTGGAATCGCGCAAGCAGAAAGCAGAAGTTGCCCAACTTTAAAGTGGGGCCAATCAAGCCTAGCTTTGCGCGCTCCGTTCTCGAATTGGAAACGAGGTTGTAATAAAATAGTATACGTTGGTTTCGAGCGGAGTTTAAATGTCCAATAAGTTAAGAAAACGGTACTGCGAACGAGGGTTTAACTGCTTTCCCCCTCTTCGTACCCCCTTTTCGCTTAGCAACGGAAGTGACGTCGTAGCAACGCGCCAGCCTCCATTTCCTTTTGCACAGTGGCAAGATGGTGAGTCTGTTTCTATTTCTAGCCGGTTTTCGTTTCAATCAATTTTAATCTCGTAAATGCGGCAAGATCGGTATCTCATACTGCGTGTAGTAAACTAGTAGATCCTTATGTTTCCTTCGCAATGATTATTTTTGAAGAGAAGGGATTCGCTTAACCAGATCAACCCTCGAACTATCCATCAACTTGTCATAGCATGGTCGGGCTGCTCTCGCGTAAATAAAGCTCGCTGTTCTTGTATGGCTGATTACGGTGTACGTAACTAACAGGAACTTTTAGCTAATCACCTGAAATAACGTGTGACTTAAAACCAAAGTCGCCCCGGTGTAATATACGATCAACTTCTGTACGAGCTCAGTTTTCATGGTCACCAGCTGCGTCTGGTGCTACGCTTTTGACATTCGTGCGTAGAAAACGACCCGTACCTCGACGGTCTTTAGGTAAAATAAGCAAACTTGTTTCCAGTCCCCGATTTTGGTTCTATTTCTGAGGTTTTTATTGCTGCGGTCCACTGGTTACGATCTCGCTGCATCGTGATCACGCGCGGCATGCTTGCCAACTATCAACCCCCTCCTCTCTGTTTGCGGTGTAGGTGAACGTGCCGAAGCAGCGGCGGACCTTTTGCAAGGGAAAGTGCAAGAAGCACACCCTCCACAAGGTGACACAGTATAAGAAGGGCAAGGATTCCCTTTACGCCCAAGGTAAACCACATCCAAATCTTTCGCGAACCTCGGAGCTTTCTTTGATGACGTTCTCCTCACCCGACACCTTCAACTTTGTCAAAGTTCCAGTCGCAAAGCTTAGTGTCCCGCGAAACTGGGGCTGTGCTAGTCGGGCCGAATCCAAGGCAGTCCAGGCAATGGCACGTGTAGACTCGACAAGCACTTGGGAGCATGCTGGGAACCTAGCTACACGCACTCGCATTTCTGTAAAGAGGGGAGGTATTGGCCGACGCAGTAAAAAATGCCATTTGTTTTGGGTTTCCGCTTTCCAACAGTTACCGCTGCAGATGCTAGCACGCGTGGTGTGTGTGACTACACTCCTGCCGTGCTTCTTAGTGGTTACGCAGTATAGGACAAATGTCTATTTAGAGCAGGCATGATGAGGAAAACAAAATCCATTCGGGACACTATGGGACCCCTTGGCATTAGGCTATTGGGTTTTCTGTTATTATTGGAGTTGATGTTGGTTGCGTACGGTGGCTGCAGGCTTGCTCCATTTGCTGTTGCAACCTTTCGTGGCTTCGGACGACTACGGTGCTCTGTCAAAGTCTGCGTCTGCTTACGTTGCACTGTTACATTGCGAGTCGTCGTGGCAACCAATTCAAAGAGTAGCTTTGCACGTGGCATTAGAAGTACAGATGTCCCCGTGTTTCCTAACACAAGCAAATGCTCCTGGGTGAATGGGCTTACAAATGGAGTTTTAGTAGAACAATGTCAGATACTCTGCCGGACTTTGCCCATGCATTGTGTAGTTATTGAAGGTATCTGAACAATCTACTAAAACTTGCTTTTGATGGGAACACTGATTCTCAGCTTGCCGCGCGGGTGGTGTCGTAATCTAGCATCTACGGCGTTTATTTTTTATCTGGCTCGAGGCTAATAGTGAACCTGAAAAGCGTGCCAAAACTTGCCACGAAGACTGGAAGGCAGTTTCAAGAAGCCATTTGTGCAAATGGAGGGGCAGCGGATGCTTAGAGTCGATTCTAGAGTTGTCACTTTACGCAGTACGGAAAGGGAGCCTCAGTAAGACTGGATTTAATACCGTTTTGAAATATAATGGGCCACAAATGTGCACAGCGCGGCAGTTTGTTTTTGAGCAGTGGCCGTCGTCTTTGTTTTCAGGAAAGAGGCGTTACGACCGTAAGCAGCAGGGGTACGGCGGACAGACCAAGCCCATCTTCAGGAAAAAGGTATCAAGCACACATTGCTCACTCTCTTTTTGGGCTTTTAAGAGGCACCCCTGTCCGCTTTTGCTCCGTTTAAAAGATGCTGCTATGATCAGACAAAGAAATTAGCAACATTAAACAAAAAAATTACGTTAGTGCCATTTCTTTTAAACGGCCTTTTCAGCGGCACTCGGCACGCCTCGTACGTGTACTGTAATGGCCCGCTCATAGAGGGGAAAAGTAGCCACGTTGTAAAAAACTGTGCAAAGAACGCGAAGGCCATTTGAAAACGCCACGGCGCTACGTCTGTTCCGTCGTATTGGTTCGTGTGTTTTTGGCGTGGTTTTATTAAGAAAATAGTCGTTGACGGAGGTGGAGGAACCTCAACTCGATCAGTGCTTAACAAATGTGGAAGGTTTACGACGAGCGCTTTAGTTGATGACGAGTTGGACGAAGGTCCTTGCACCTCTCTCCACTTTAGTGGAGTGAAGCCGTACAGACCTCTCTGTTGTTCGCTCCGCTAAAGTAGTGAAAGGTCGGGGGAGGGCTTCCCCCCAACTCCTGACCAGTCACCGGCCGTGGTTGGCCAGCAAAAAAACTGGGAGCATAAACGAGAAGAAAAAAAACGGGGGGACGTGTGCATATTCAATGTAGTTAAGACGATGCCGACGTGCAGGCCAAGACCACCAAGAAGATTGTGCTGCGCATGGAGTGCACCGAGTGCAAGAACCGCAAGCAGCTGCCCATCAAGCGCTGCAAGCACTTCGAGATCGGCGGAGACAAGAAACGCAAGGTGAGACGCTCCGGCTTGACGGTCGTTACAAAGGCAAGACCCACGGCGGTTTCGGGCCGGAAGAGAAGGACGCCGTATACGACGCAAAATTTGCGAGTGAAAATATGTGCAGTTTCAGCTCTAAACAAAAAAAAACTACCTGGACAGGCCTTGAAGTCTGCGTATTATCTTAAAAGAGAAAAAAAAAATGTTTTTGCTATAGTATATAGAAATGCATTTCGAGTTCAGAGCGACGTCGTCTGCTCGTGCACGCCGGCTCAGTGATAACTTTCATCGTGAGGACGACGTCGAGGCGGGAGTCATTTTGTCGTCCAGCCGGAGGAGGAAGGGGCACGTTCGATACATACCTCTCCCTACGGCTCTCAAACTAGTTGGACTTTACAGTAACGACGCTCTGGCCCTGTTGCGTAGAGTCTGTGTTTCCAGTGTCGACTGGCTTTTGCCGACGTGCCTGATGGAAAACGTGAAGGGCACACTCCGTCATCTTACTCTGGAAGACTCTTCATGCTGGAGCAAGATGACTGTGCAGCGTTCTCGACGCTGCATCTACTCCTCGGAAAGTTCAGTTTCAGAACCGTGATTGTTGCACGCTGCTTCGGTGGGCGCCAATATGGCGGTGCACACAAACCACCCGTGGGTAGACAAATGTTTGGCGATGCTAATAGTGGGTGTGCAAATAGACGGTGGGTGAGAAGAGAAGACTGCCACGACGTTCAGAGCCCTTCTTTCCGAGGACTGCTGCGGCCGACGCAGTGAAGAGAAACTTTTTAGGCATGCGCCGGCTTTAGAGGGATACTGAATTGAAATGAGCGCGAGTCAAATGTAGCTGCTACTAGAGACTTTTGGTAAACCACATTCTAGAGCTATGCTTTCCTAGTTGGAGTGGTACCTTTTTGAAGCGTGGATCGACCACTGTGGGCCCACTCTCTGTGGCGTACAATCTACTCAAACTCTAAAAACAGTTAGCGATAATAATTCGCCTGTATTTTGAATAGGTTGTTGCACTCTAAATGCCCAACTGAGGCTCTTGAGGCATTCCTTGCATTTATGTCATCTTTGACAATATGAAGGGCAGAGTCGAGGAGGCAGTCTACGGCGGCTGTGCTGGATTTGCTCAGACTTCCATTGCTTGGGGCGAGTGAATGCACATTCTGTTCTCCCTCTAAACATTATGGCTAGTTCATGTAGTTGCTCTGTGCAGCACGGCGCCTCCCCATTGGCTCGTCGTAAGTGCCGCGGCTCGACATGAGCAGTTTTAACGAGGCGCAAGTGGTTGCAGTTGCACTCCAACGCAACTGTGCGAAAGAGCCTTCAAGAGCCCTTGAAAAACAAAACAAAATGGCCCCTTTAAACAGTCTGGTCACGCATGTTAAAGAATTAAATCTTTTTTTTTTTCAGCAATATTGACGGCACAATGTGTGATTTAGTTGGTAGCCACCTCCTGTCCACTTGTTTTCTCTGCATTTCGGGTGCGTGGAGGGGGGGTGGATAGGCTTTGCCTTCTCGTTGAGGTGTTAATATTGAATGACCATCTCGCTGAACTCGAAAGAGCGAATGACCATTCAGCGACGTCATGGACTTTGCGCAGAATTTCCGATAAATCTTGCCGTCAATATTGCTCTAAAATTATTTTATTTTTTTTTTTGCGTAAAATTCATTTTTTGACACACATATCCCAACCAAACTTTTGCAAAAAAAATTTTCTTTTTATGTTTTCTTTTTAATGTGCCTCTCGCAAGAGTGTACCTAGCACCACTGCATAAACTGCCTTGGCGAATGGATCTTTGAATTGTGGGAGTCTGTATCCTCTGTACAGCTAGAGACCGGAACAACTTGGCTACGAGCTTTGCAGTTCGTAGCCGAGTTTGACCGAGTCGTTCGAGCACCACGTTGCAACCTCGGCGCTTAAAAAAAATGCCACAAGTTCCGAATTCGAGCACATTCTCGAGCGTAACAGACATCTGGTGGAAGCCCCTACTGCCGAATGTTTTCCTCGAACCTTGCTCGTAGGCTTAATCGCTCTGAACATCCGGTTGCTTATCTCTCCCCGTCCAGTGCGGTGGAGGACCGTAGAAATGACTGTGGTGCCGGCGGAGCGTCGGGACTAGCTCTACTACAGTTTCACCTCCACGTTTCTCACCGCGGCACGCGGCTGTTCTGTCGTCGTAGCCGAGTGGGTGAAATGCCGCCGAAAGCGATTTAAGACTCCGCTGGCCATCCGCACATGTTCGGGGATGGTCCCGCCACACGACCGTTTCAGTGGAAGAACCGGTCGGCGCTTTGGTGCTCGTAGGCTTTTTAATTGAGGAAGTTGGCACTGACAGTTCCGTTTTGTTTCTTTGCAGGGACAAATGATCCAGTTCTAATCCACCAGTGTAAAGTATGCCGACTTGTAATAATAAAAAGAAAAACTCCATCGGACGTGCCGGCTGTTTTCAATGTGGCCTAGTCCCACCGGGCAAACAACCGTCAACCAAACCTTGTTTGCCGACATGTTTGTTAGTCGTCCGTTGGCGGCACTCGACGGTGGGATTGCCGGTTAGGTGGGTTAGGAGTGTTTGGAAACGGTGCTGGTCGAGTGTTTGCCTGGTGGGGCTCAATTGAACAAAACAGAAAATTATAGTCTTGGACAGTGAGGACGGCATGTGCTCCTCGTCTTTCACCTTGCCTTTGGCTATGTGTGCAAGCTTAAGGATTACGAGACTTTGAAGTGCTTATTGAAGGTAGGAAGCTTGCAACCGAAAGGGCTGCCTTCGTTCTGTCCGCGATTACAGTAAAGCTAGTCTGGCTGCAACGTGGGATCTGCTTGCTGGAGGGACTGCTCACACAGTGAAGAGCGACTATGGGTGGCCCTGGGGGCAGCAGCTGCCCTTGATTTGAAAATTGTGTGGAAACTTTTGAAATGACTATGTTGTCCCATTGTGCCGTGCCAGGAAAATGGTGGGTTTCTATCGAGCATACCCGGGTATTGAGAGCGTTTTTGCTCTCAATACCCGGGTAGGCTCGAAAACGCTCCCAATACCCGAATATTGGGAGCATTTTCGGGTATTCTGTTGCAACAAACTGCTGCGCCTGGACGTTCATTTTACAGTACCGCTAGTGCTGACTGCAGGAAAGATAAAGTGGTGCGAGCCACACTGGGCAGACGACCAGATGGGCCAAGGTAACAGTTCAAAATGACCCAGTGTCCCCAGACAAAAACTATTTTTAATCGAAAAAAAATCAACCAGATGCCAAGTTTCGGAACAAGCCGTTATTTTGTTCAATAGTTCTAAGTGATTTCGAAATTTTAAATGGGAAAATGGTGGCCGTCGAGGCTGACAAATGCGTGGGGCCGAATGAAGCACCATTGACAGTTTTTCAAATGAAGGTTGGTGCTGAAGCCTTGGCATCTGGACCAGACCTCTAGCGCTAGATTTGAATGAATACTAAGCATTTGGTAATGATTAGTCTATATTTGTGGTGAAAAAACTGTTGAAGACACACTTTTACAGGACACTAAGACGTGCTACAAATTGGCCTTGTTCAGATTTAGGTGCCATTGGCGTTGAGCAGAGCTGTATATAGAGTGTTGGGCCGTTCATTGGGAAGTATAGGAGGCAAATGAGATGCCACTGGCCAAAAGCGTGCTGGGCGTGTTCCAGGGCGTTTTCACAAATGCGAATGTGGCCAACCAGAAGCTGGAAGTAATACCCTGGCGGTGGTTGCGAGAAACGAAATTGATAAGCGCGTCGGAGGAACTCTCGGCGACTGAAAATAAGGTGGACGTGACGTTTCAATCACAGTCATCCAAAATCGTGGTGGAAGATTGCAACCAGCGGACCGATCGGCATAATCCACATGCCAGGCACTGAGGGCCGGGAATCTGTTGTCCGAGCGGTCACACACTGTCCGAGAAGATGCAGTTCGAGCGGCGCATTCGTTTCTTCCATATTTCTGCACGATTGAAACATCACATGCACTCTATTTTCCACCAGGAAAGGTTACCACATTCAAATCTAACGAGCTTATTAGAACCGTATACCTATGGTTAAAAGTGCTTGCTACCACCGCTAGGGGATTCTTTTCGGCTTCTGGTTAACCAAGAGAGCATGCCAAGTTCATTTTCTGCATCTGGTGCACGTCCTGGTTCTGCCCGCACCTCCCATTGACCAAACTCTGCACGGCTTTGGCAACAAGATGTTTCAGTGGCGACCTCTTATGGTTCCTATCGGCGACGTCGTGGCCGAGATTATTGGAGGAAACAAGTTCGATGGCACTTAAAAAGCGCGGTGGAAGCCTAGACATCACGTCCCTAAATGAACACCGTCTGAGTTGAGAGTTTTACTTTGCTCTTCTGTCGATGAGAGCAGAAATAATTCTACTCGAGATGTCTTAGTGGTCGTTTGACCAATTGTGGAAGGCCGATCACAGCGATACTTTTGGTGTCAATATGCTCCGTATTAACTATTTTAGGCTACGACGTCGAGGCTTCCAGTGCTACGTCGCAGCATGTGACTGTCTTTCCGTCTACTTTGCGCATGCCTTTGTGCCAAGAAAATGCCAAATGGAGCCGCGTGCTCGTGCAAGGAGCTACAACAGTGGTGAGGCACTGTGCAAGGTACAAAATTAAGCGCAAACTAGTTGACATTGAGTATACCGTAATATCCAGAGATGCCCCACTCGCGAAAGATAACCCACCCCTACTTTTGGCACAATTCGGTAATTTTTCCAAAACGCCAAAAGATAGCCCACTTCTAGTAATTGCACTGCTTGAGCCAATGGTGACCTTGGCAGAAACAAGGACAGTTAGGCGGGCGATAAACGCCGACTGGGAAGAACAGTCGTCTTCGGTTTGTAGCCCCCCTGCTGCGATAGTGAGTTAGAAAGGCCACGGGACGTATGTGACGAAGCGATACGCATTTTGTTTGACAGCGATAGCCACTGCTCGTTTTAAGGTTTTGAGGGTGACTAAATGAAGCACAAACACCTTAACATTAAGTAACACCTTTTGGCGGGCTAGTTGGTTCATGATTTTAGAAATAAACTGCGTAAAGGACGAGGACAGAGGTAGAAACGAGTACGCCACACGAAGCGCAGACTTCCAACTGTTTATTTGGCGCAGATACAACAGTATATATGACAGCAGCAATCAGTTTGCGGTTAAATAAGGTTTAAACATGACCATCCAAAAAAGAGAATTGCTTGTCTGATAGTGAAACAGATTGCATGCTTATGCAGTCGTGACCTTTCTTTTTAATGAAGTAGGCTTCTGCGAGTTTTCTTTCCGTTGCCTCATTTGCTCTTGCGAGAACACCTGTCCTTTGCAAATCAGGATGACAACCGCATTTCAAACAATGTACAGACAGATGTCCGCCTGTGTTGTTTTTTATCGACAGAAAGTGTTCTCGTGCCCTCAGGTTGAAACAACGTCCAGTCTCGCAAAGCATCCGATGGCCTTAATTTTACCCATGAATTGACCGCTAACGGTTCCATCCAGTTTTTAGATCTAAAAATAACGTTTAGTGACAACCACATCTGCTGGTCACACCACCCTACGACCAAGAAGGGCCTTTTGCCCTATGACAGTGCTCACTCAAAGCTTGTTAGAAGAGCCATCGTTATGTCTAGCTGTACATCAGCATTAGAAAAATCATGTGTTCACCAAATGGCGTCCAGTTTCCGCGATCAGTGTGACCGCCTTACTGCCGCAGCAGAGACACTTGGTCTCTGCTGTATGTGTGCGCTTGCTACAGAAGCAGAAAACTGGTAGTAATGAGCAGAGGCGAAAAGAAAAAATGTGCGTGCATGTCATCCCGTACCACCACGGCCTGTCCCATAACCTGAAAAAGGTAGCGGCCAGGTATGGTCTCTCGGCAGTCTTTTCAGCGCCCTGCAAACTCAGTAAAGTGTGCCCTATGATGAAGCCAAGAGTGAACATCAACAAATGCAAAAAGGAGCACAGCACGCGCTACATGGAATGTGCATCCGGTGTTATCTATGAAATTCCGCTTTCTTGTGGGCGAGTATACATTGGCGAGACTGGACGTTGTTTCAACCTGAGGGCACGAGAACACTTTCTGTCGATAAAAAACAACACAGGTGGACATCTGTCAGTTGAAATGCGGTTGTCATCCTGATTTGCAAAGGACACGTGTTCTCGCAAGAGCAAATGAGGCAACGGAAAGAAAACTCGCAGAAGCCTACTTCATTAAAAAGAAAGGTCACGACTGCATAAGCATGCAATCTGTTTCACTATCAGACAAGGAATTCTCTTTTCTGGATGGTCATGTTTAAACCTTATTTAACCGCAAACCGATTGCTGCTGTCATATATACTGTTGTATCTGCGCCAGATAAACAGTTGGAAGTCTGCGCTCCGTGTGTCGTATTCGTTTCTACCTCTGTCCTCGTCCTTTATGCAGTTCATTTATTTCTAAAACCTTAACATTCTTTTGCCTGAAGTTTAAGAGCGCAGCTCTTGGGCACCTGTTTCCGCGTGCAGCGCCATTGACGTCGGCGTTACTGCCCCGCTAAATTTAGGGGTCGGGTCACGTGACGTCAGTGTTCCCGCTAAATCTAGAGGGGAAGCTGAATTTGTTCGTAGGTGATGTGACACTAAGTCACTTGACATCATTTTCTCCTAAACTTAGCGGGGAAACTGAATTGGTGTAGAGGCCACATGGCATCAATCAATATAGAGGGGAGGGTATGGATGAGGACGAGGGGCATAGCCTCCCCTCCTCAAGAGCTGTGCTGCAAGATTTGTAAATGTCATTTTTTTTCCCCATCTTTTCTTGGTTATACATTGGAAGTTACCCCCTCCCTGTTTTCACCCGGTTTTCTCTCGATTTTAGCTGGGCTATCTCTAGATATTACAGTAGGTAAAACCACAACAGTCTGTGCTTGGATGTGCTGCACTCGCACCACCTAGGGTGATTAGACGTCCAGTTCTATAGGTGCACCTTTTGTGTATGGTTGCAGAATGAGTGTTAAGTCAATGGAAGAAATCTAAATACATAACATTTTATAAAGATAAACATAGTATAAAAATGTCACCACCCATAGGTGAATTTGAAGCATTTTCAGTGGATCCATCTGCCATGCGTTCTGTTTGCTCAGTTGTTTGTTCGGAGCTTGTATTCCCGCTAAACGAAGTTCAGAAAAGTGTTTTTACAGTGTACTGAATAGTAGCCAAGCTTGCTTGCAGTCAAGGCTACAGTGCATTGTTGGCTGTGCCAACACCCTAGCCTTGACTGCGATGTTGACTATGCCTCAATTCGGCAGCTAGAGTCGTCGAATTTCCGCAACTTTGCACGTTCCAAAGTTTGCCGGACCGTACAAGAAATATTTAGACAGTGCTAGGTCGTAATATTTGACACGTGGTCTTCCTAGGTGGTACTGAACAGGACTGCATTGTTTTTTTTTTAAACAAAAATAGAGTGGAGTTGTTCTTTAAGAGCAGCCATGGTGGCTCGTCGTAGGTCGGTCACAAAAATGCGAACTTCCTTCGCCTCAATACTTTGCATAAAGTCAATTGGCGCAGGATGCATCGTCTGTTTGTGCCAATGTCCTTAGCAGAATAGCCCGAAAGCCAGACGGGTCAACCACATCCAATACGCTGGCACAAACGCATTCACTTTTTATGCAAAGTATCGAGGCAAGTTTGTTTCTTTTTTTCTGCAACTACTGGAACGTGCAATTGAGACAGAACTGCATCCCTCGTGAAAAAAGCAACGACAAACACGGCCCTTTAATGGCAAACGGGGACATGTGGCGAGGCAGGCAATAAGGCACTTGCTCCCGCCCCCGGCTGGTCCACTACCTTGGACGTCCGAGACGCCCATACTTTGATGACTAGGCACGCTCCCAGCGAGGAAAGCTTCGCTGCACAGAAAACAGGAGAGAATGCATTAGTAAGTACCTCGCAAAATGCCTTTTCACGACACGCCCGGTAAGTGCAGTCTAGAGACACTAAATACGCCACGCTTCAGGGTCACGACAGTTTGGTGACCTTGTTGCTTGAAATCGTTGTTGGCAGTTGTCTGGAGCTTCACCCGAAATGGCGGGAAACACTTTTCAGTCCTTAAATGTTGGTGCAGTCCACGACAAATCAAACCGATGCCGCCGGAGATTCCCAACACCATTTGTCAGAATTTAACGAAAATAATATACGAGAAACGCGGAACTGTCGGCACGAAACAAAACTCGGAAACATTTGCTCAGAATTTTGTCAAAAATTAACTCCGAAAATCGAAATCCTAATTATGATTGGGGTTCCGCTTTGTCGAGGATTATTTTTCTTTGAACTCGGTCTTCTTTTTGCAGGGTTTATTTTTTTCTGATGGATTCGGTGTTTTTTGGTGTCGGACAAAAAATTTGCGTTTATCGGACCTTATGTCGAAGAAACGGGGCATGGAATTCCCAAACCTCCAGAGGACAGACATGCCTATGTCCAGAATGCTCATAAGAATGCCTCGCTACGGACAAAAAAAAGAACAAAACAAGGGTCTGGTCTTTGAAAATAGAGGTGGCCTCGCGGTTAGTTCAATGTAACTATGTTCGAGGTAAACAAAAAAAGAATTTGTAAAACGAAACCCTCCCCTCCCCCCAAGAAGCTTCAGTTTTACAGGGGAGCTGTTAAGGGCTAGTTTCTCCAGGATCATGTCCGTCCTCCAATGACCTGATGACACAGAACCCTACACAGCTACCGCCATCTATGAGCGACGGCGGCAACCGTTTTGCCGGTTGTCTGGTTGCCGTTGTCGCTCATAGATGGCGGCAACATTTCGAGCCTTTCCACTCTGGCTTGCTGACTTGTGGCCGGCCATTACTTCATTGCCACCATAGCTTAGCTGCACTGGTCTTCCTTCTTCACCAGAGTGGAAAGGCTGAAAGCTTTTTTTCCTATTCACCTATTCAAGGAAAGCTCTAATTCGGGGTTTTTTGCTTTTTCCCCAACTTTGACAAAAGTGACTCGGGGGTTTATCGGCATTTACTGAAAACACGAAACCGTAATTATAACTAACAGTCATTTGTGCTCAACCCCCTCAACTTGACTTTACTCCCTTCCTCTGTGCATGCGTAGCTTCTTAAAACGGACGTCTGCTAGGACTACGAAGTTCCTTACTTTAGAGACACATTGATTGCTTCAAGGTATGTGTCGCCAAGCTAGCGCGCATGCATTTGGTGTTGCTCCGATCTGCAACACGCGCCACGACTCTGTGCCGCACTAGAAGCACTAAATACTAAGCCACACTTAGGGTAATGGCACTCCTTTCCTCGACCGTTTTGTGGGCATGCCATCTTGCTTCTCGCGCAAACCGGGCGCAACTGGTGACGGTAAGGACTCGAAAACGCGACTTCCTCGACCCTAGATTGTGATGTGGAACTTACATTCAAATTATTTTACGGAACTTGGGGAAAGTACCTGCGAGTCAACATAACGAGAGGAATACGTGCACCAATTTGTGTTCGCCCCAAGTCGCACAAATAAAAGAAAAGTAGTTCCACACGTATCTGTATCAGCATATTGAAACACTTTTTTGCCGTGTCTGCGGAAGCATCTCGAGGATATCCCGTTAAGTAAAAAAACTGATGTTTCTCGGTGTCCATATTTTCACCTTAAAATACGCGCATCTCGGTAATCGTACCCCGGAATAGCTTTTCGAGCATCTGTGCTCAGCCCCGGAGGAGAGGAGTGGGTCGTCTCTCTTGCGCGCCCGGTCTGCGGGACATGCTCGTTGCCCTTCGCCAGACTTTGGCAGCGTGCCCAAGCATGGTTAAAAAATTGACAGCGACTTTTACCTCCAAACTCCTATAATGCGTGACATGCATTATAGAGGAAGTTGGTGGATTTCGTGGCATGTATTTCCTCCTTGTACAGGTCACGCGACGTTGATTGCCCCCGCTAAATATAGTGGGGAAACCGGACTGGTGTCTGGGTCACAAGATACAAATTTTCCTGCTAAATTTAGCGGGTAACTAAATCGGAAACGAGCACGCGGTTGTGCTTTTGCCGGCTACAAGACCCGGCCGAGGAGGTCGCAATCCGACGGAGGCTCGTTGAGAAGAAGGCGCCGCGCGACCGACATTTCGCCATCAAGAGATCCCCGGGCAGCCGAAATAAATCCTCGGTCCTCCGCCAGATCGTGCCGGATGCCCTTCGTCGGTTCAGCACGTAAAGCCCCCCTCTTTTGACTTTGGGCTTGGGTCGGAGGCGTGCCGAGGGTGTCGCGAAAGGTGCATGCCCACCTCAGGAGAGGACGGGGTGACCCCGTCCGAAGGCGAGGAAGAATCCGCAGCCGAGCACGTTGAGCAGGGCCGTCGTATGGAAGATGAGGGCCCAGCTGCGGGTGGCGTCCACCACGTACCCCACCAGGTAGACCCCCACCACGCCTGCAACCGAGGCACACGGCCCAATGTCTCGAGACACCTTCCGCAGTCGTCCATTTTCCTTGAGACGTGCCTCCGAAAGGATGAAGGCTGGTTTACGCTGTTGCAACCAACTACAACAGAGTCTGATAGAGCTGCCGTTTAAGCCTGTTGCGACGGCTTACGACCGTGCCGCACGGTGGTCATGGCGGTTGGAAGCGGCTTAAAACCCCGTTCTTCTGGACTCTGTTGTAGTCCATTGCAACGGTGTGAACCGGCCTTTAAGGTTCGTTTGCACGTACAGCTCGACACTAACCCGGCGCCAACACGCGTCGCTTGTGACTTCCTCGCTTATATGCGCAACGCAGCAATTACTTGCCGCTGATGCGGTGTTCAGAGTAGCACTGATGTGGCACTGGCTTTACATTTTCTCTGTACTGGGATGCGGGTGTGAACCGGCCTTAAAGGTGGGGGCGTGTGAACCGGGGTGTAAAGATGGCGGCGGAGCGCCATGACCTGACGACTGACATTCATGCTCTCGAGAGAAAGAACTAGAAAGGCTGCGACGGAAGAGAAAAAAAAAAAAAAAGGAAGCGGACCACTGGTTAGGCATGTTCGGTCTGCCGCAACACACCGAAGCTTCGCAATAGCTTGCCGACTTTAGTTTTTCTTCATAAAATCCCAAATGCCAGCGCTTTCCTGAAAAGTAAAGTTATAAAAGAAACGGTTCCAACCTCGCGAGCGTTATATTGCTGTTTTTCAGTCACCGGCATTTCTTTGCTAGAAATACGGGCTCCCAACCACCGTGTCGTCTGCCATTTCGCAATTTTGAGTCAGCCGAAGTGCATGTGCACACAACGGACCTTTCCTTTCAGATTCACTACATGAAATCTATAGTGAACACGTGGGGCCTCTCTGACAAGGCGCTTATGTGCACGCCTAGAGTTTAGCAGAAGCACAAACCACGAGGGTCTGAGATCGGGGAAACATATTCACGACTCAAAATCCGGGCTTTTTTCCCCGCAAGAAAACTAACGGCCAAAGAACCGGCTGCTCGGGGTTTTCTCCAGTCTTTCTCTCCGTCGCACACGCGGTCCCTGGAACCTGTATTTGACGGGTGCACTTGATCTCCGTCCGGCAAATGTGGTCCCTCTTCACCCCCGGGGTGGAAGGGCTCTAAAAGTTTTTAAAGCACTGAACGCAAACCTTGTAGACGCGTTGCATGCATCACAGTCACGCGAGATGAGGATGCGGCGCTTGGATGAGGATATGGTCACCCGAGATGAGGATGTGGCACTTTTTTGGCTTCCACAAGGTGAAAAAGTCCGAGAAGTCTTGCCAAAACCATCACTTTGCAAAGTTGCTCTAAACCCGCAGTTTTTGACACTTACCTGGAATGGCTCCGACGGTGTTCATGAGGCCTGCCGAAAAAGAAGAGACGGTCGTGACGGCGAAAATACCAACTCAATTGCTTCTTCTACGGCACTTTGTTTTTGTTGCATTGTTTTGTCCGACATTACGGTGACCGGTTGTATCCCCAACCCGGCAATGACCTGAAATGAGGTTGCGGTATGTGCGAATAAATAAACAAGTAAATATTTCGCGGCACTTCCTCGTTGGGCTCGGCTCGATTACGGGACATACTTTGGAATCGATTTCTGCACGTTATAGGGCCAGCCCTTAGGGATTTTGTGTCGCTATATGTTGCCTTGACAACATCGTGGCGTCACATGGCACTGTGACGTCATCTTTCGGTATTTATAGGCTTTTTGCGACGTCACATGGCACTGTGACGTCATCTTTCAATATTTATAGGCCTTCTGCGACGTCACATAGGCATAGCACCGTCATATCACGTGGCACTGCAACGGCTTTATATATTTACGAAGCACTCGTAGCGTGCCCTTCAATGATTGCCTCGCTCAGCAGCATGAAAAGTTTAAGAGGCCAGTTAAGTGACGCATTGAGAATGCCTTTAGCAAATGCCATACAATTTTTGTCTTGTGCTGATCCATACATTTTTTCTTACTAACCCCTGAAATGAATAATCAGTAATCAGTGATCATTAATTTCAACCAATTTGATGGTTACAGTGTTACGAGCGTAATCTGGAGTCGCCCTGAACAAGCGTCGTGTAGACTCCAAGGACCTGTCCTATCGCTTTTATAAGTTCTCGTCAATGTCAGCGTTTTTGATACTGTGCATGCGATCAACCCCTCAACCTGGCTGAGCTGCAGAAATCTCTTACAATATTACGATTCTTGTGATTGTTGTTTTAGCAGGAATTGCTTAAAAAGCCGAGAATTTGCAACCAAAATCAGGATTTAGCTCGGAATCAGCGGGGCTGTTTATAGCATTTTTAGCACTTCTATAACATCAGCTTCTTTGGAGCTGTACGAGAATGATAATATAGTAAGGGAGTTCTGCAGCTCAGCCAGGCTGAAAAGTGAATCGCATGCACAGTGTGAAAAATGTTGACATTAAGGAGCAATTTTCAATGTGACACGACAGGTCCCTGGACTCTACACAACACTTGTTCGGGGTGACTCCGGATTACACTCAGAACTGTGTAACCATCGAATTGGTCAAAGCTACAGATCACTAGGAAATTGAAGAAACACAGCTCCCATGACTCCTCGAGTGCGGGCCGGGGAGTTTGGTGGATTTAGCAAAGGGTCTATTCCCCCCTTTACGTGAAGAATTAAGACACAGCACGCAGAATTAGTATAAAGCACAAAAACAAACTGCTGCGCACCGATAACGCAACTAATGCGCCCGCCACACCTTGTCCGAGCAAGGGAGGAAATCACGCTGCTCAATAGGTTCGCCTTCTCCACAGTACACGTGACGTGCACCGCTGCCGTTGACCGCAGCGCACGTCATGTGGGGCATTTCATCTTTTCTTCGTTTCTGTTGCACGTTTTTCTGGCTGTGTTGCAAAACTTGCTCGAATGCCTCGAATGACCTCCAGTTACTCCGGCGGACCGTCTCACGTGATAACACAGAGCAACGCTGGACACGGGTATGTTTTCGAACGCCAAAAAACAGAGCCTTTACCCCAGACTTTACTATATAATTATGCAAGCTTGATTGTGCTTACAAAGACTGGTCAGCACAGAATGTGGAATAGGCCCTCCAAGAAAGAAGACAAGGGCGTCTGAATTGCGCTGCCTACTGAAGATTCGCTCCCATCCCCGACATATGCCGCGAGATGATGCAGCAGGACAGGAAAGGCCGCAAAGCGCCCAGCTGCACCTCCATGCCAAGGAGTTTGCTTTTGCATGCTTTGGCCCCCGAGCCTAAATGGTTACCTAAGTCGGCAAAGCACTTGGCTCCTAATCCCAAGGTGGTGAATTCAAATCCTACTGGAGAGTCAGGTTTTTTTATGGGTTCCTTATCGGTAGAGCTGGGCATATCCACGAATCATTCGTGGATATCCCTAGTAAACTGGCGAATGCGAATAAAAATGAATCGGATGTGGAAAATTACCAATCGCATGCAGATGCCAGGGGCTGCGGACGTGGATACCCGCGGGTCTGAATATACATCTTTGTCGACGCAGCCCATACACTTGTGCGAATGCAGAGTGTAAAGTGTATAAGTGAGTGATAGTAGGAAGTGAAACATTGAATGTTTTGCAGGAGCAAATTATTCTTTTAGAAAGAAAAGTGCCAATCGGAGAGAAAACTGTTCCTTTCGCCAAAGAAGACTTGATTCTCACAAAAGATTGCTTTAGAGCGTTCCATCTCGCCAAAAATGTTGTCCCTAGAAAAAAGGAAAACATGCAGGGGCATAAATCATCACGGGAAAACGTGTTCTTGCATGGCAGGAAAGAGTGGAAAACATTCTTCGGGCAAAGAAAACCCAAGACATGCAAGCAACAAGAAAGTACTAGAACAAGCCTCATCGACAAGTGAAACTTGACGTGTGTGTGTGCGTTTTTTCTATCAACAATTGGCAAGGTCCTGCTAAGTATCTGGTTCAAAGCATGCAGTTGTGGGTTTGTGCTTAAAACTAAAACCAATAGAAGGTGCTGCCATTATCAGATAATGTCACATTTTCGCAGTCGTGTACTCACGTCTTACCACACATATACAAGGTGTGTGAAGTATTTGAGAACATAACCATGGTTTCAACAAAAATATATGTTAAAAAAAATAATATATTTGCACAGATCCTGGTAAAGATGGCGTTTCTTCATCCGATAAAACCACCTTCAGACGCAATGACTGACTCGATGCAGCTTTGAAAACGGCTGCATGCCCCAATCAAGTGGACCTCGTTGATGTTAGCCATAGCGTCCACAATGGCAGCCATTAATGACTCTTTGGTGTCATGGGCTGCTTGCCCGTCTCCGAGGATGCCCCAGACATGGTAGTCCAGGAGGCTTACATCTGGAGAGTTAGGAGGCCACGTGTTGGGGGTAGTCGTGGAGGTTGTCAGTCAGACAATCTTAGGTCATGTGGGCCGTGTGGCATAAAGCAGAGTACGGCCTCCTTCTCCTGCCCAAGGTTTCGCTACAGTACCCAGGGTCTTGAGGTGACCCTAAGGCCCTGATAAAAAATTGTGGTGTCGTTGCTCACAATGGCTGGGACCATCACAGACGACAGAAAGAGTGACCTGTCATTGCTCTTGCTGACCTTCTGGTCTGGGTCAAGGTTCTCATCGGAAAGAAACCAAAGCACGTCTGGTTCCTCGGGGTGCTTGAGCTTGTTCAACAAGCGCTTGAACCGGATGACACGGTTTTCCTGCTTCTTGGGGGACATCAACTGCCCTCTCCCCATCCTGTACGACTAGTATCTAAGGTCCTCAAGCACGAGAAGCCTGATAGTGAACTTTACCACATCGAGCTGCTTGGCAATGGCCCTTATTGACTTGCTGGGGTCATTGCTCACAATGTCTTGCACTGCTCTATAAAATCTGCCATTTAGACAACGTCTAACGGCTGGGAATTTTTTCCCTCGCTTGGCCACAGATGAAATATCTCCATCCGAATCCAAAAGCTGTTTCCTGACCTTGAAAATTAAGGACCTTGATACATTCACGAAGGCGGTTATATCCAAATCGCCATGAAATGAAAAGGCAACCAGAACGGCACGCCTTCCATTTCTTGTGTTGGACCGGAAGCTGTCGTTTTGAAATTGATACACTAAATAGATGACACAGATGCAGTCTAAGATGAAATCAAGCATCTAGACAGACGTAGTAAGAGTATGAAAAGTTATGAACCCTGAAGCTATGTTCTCAAATACCTTGCGCACCTTGGATGTATGAGTACTTCCCTGCGGTGACTGACTGCCTCTCCTCTCTCACTTTTTTTATTGTTCAACCTACATAAAATGACACAATGTTAGTAGTTTGTCTTTTAATTAATATAATGGTTGGAAAATATGTGTCAGCTTAAGGTAAATGTTCCAAAGCAAAAAGCAAAAAAAAAAAAAAAAATGAATTTTTTTTTTTTTAGAGTGCATCTTCTAAGCAGAGCGTCGCAGACTCAAGGGATGATCTCATAACTGTGATAACCTTTCCAGTGATGCGATGCATGTCTGGAAGAACAACTGCTTATAATATAAATATGATAAAACAGATTGCAATAAAATGACTTGCACCGTATTCTCACTCAAAGAGTTCTTGGTAGAAATGTAAGCAAATGGCTTACAAGGTACCATCCAGACGCTTCTCTGCTTCATTTACACTTGATCTCATAATTTAGTGTATGCGGATCCAAAGTATGCTAATGTGGATACAATAATTTAGAAACATCACAGATGCGGTTTGGGTGCGGATCCGCAGACCTTGTATCCGCACCCATTACAGCCAAAACGTTACACAACTCCGTGAAACTCTGCTGATGAAACAAGTTTTGCATTAAAACAAATTCTTGTATAGGCTGCCACAATTCAGGCATCGCTTCCTGCTTCATAACATGCGACCGAATCGGTGTTTGCGCCAAGTGCCGACACAGCGCTCGCGTTCGATGTTTGCTCAGGGTGCATGCCCAAGACACTGAGGCCTCGGATGATCGATGCAGTGGCTACTGAAGAGGGTGTACTTTACAAAAGGTTCTATCCCAAGCCTGCCACAGAACGTAGCCGGGAATTCTCGGCCGGGCACGTCGTCTCACCGAACACGGATCCCGCGTGGAGCGGGGCGATGTCCTGGGGGTTGATGAAGACGCCGCTGTTGTGGAACCCCGACGAGGCCACGGCCAGCGTGACACACGTCAGGGCTCCCGCGTAGCTGCACCAGGGCACCAGCGGGAGGAGCGCTGCCTTGCTCAGCTGGCACGCCATCTGCACATGGGGCGGGGACAGTTGTGCACACCAAAGCTTGGGGACCTATGTTTAAGGCTTCGTGTTTTCGGGCTAAATTCCTCAAACACGGAAGGTGTTTCACTTTTTTCGGGGCATTAGTTTGCCCGAGAGATTCGGCGCAAAGTGCCGTTCGTTCTCGCCGTAAGACCAAAAATTGACGTTCCGTCGAAGAAAACGGGACATGGGCACGGGATCCTTTGACTTCCGGGGAATGCACAAGTGACCCGCACTCTCGGAAGATGTCCCCAATGAGATAAACGAGATGAGGGGTGCTGTTCCGAAAGAGAGTAGCGGCCTCGTGCTCGGTGCAATGGAGACTTCGTTCTGAGATCACGCAAAATAAAACTGCGAATAAAAAAATGACTTTCTGCAAAGCTCGTTTTTTTTTTTTTTTTTTTTTTTTTTTTTCATTTGAGGACAGTTTTTACTGGGGATTTCTTTTCTTTCCTGATCCTGAAAGAAACCGGCTCGGGGGTTAGTTTTCAGGGTTTGTGGGTACGTGCCAAAAACGCGAAATCCTACGTCTAAAACGAGCCAAGGTTATCTGGAATGCAGTGATGTGATTGGCCTAAGCCGTTTTGGAGCACCTTTTGGAGCAACCGAAACAGTGTTTTGGAGCAGCAAAAGTGGCTTTTGGAGCAGCCAAAACAGTGTTTCGGAGCACCAAAAATGGCTTTCAGAGCAGATATTCTTAGAAAAATAAAAATATTCGTTTAACGTGCTGGAAAAACGAAGGGCACTTTGCTCGCCGAAATAAACGAATTACAATCGGAATCCGGTTGTTGTTCACTTGTTGACAGAGTTGTTTAAGACGCATGCGGCACGAGAAGACAACATTCGTGTCGAACTTTGAGGCAATGGATTTTATCCGGTGGGCTGAATTGTGTACGTAAGGAATGACGGCGAATCGGGCTTTCTTTTTTGTGGCTGGTGAGTGGCGATCAGGCCCGCGAATCATCCTTTCCATTACAGATCGGAGAAGGTCGACGGGAAACCCTGCCCTGACGAGCCTCATGTGCTGCAGCTTGAAGCTATCTTCTGAAAGATGACAGCAAGACTTCGTGAAGGATGAAGAAAACTGTCATCTTTCAGAAGATAGCTTCAAGCTGCAGCACATGAGGCTCGTCAGGGCAGGGTTTCCCGTCGACCTTCTCCGATCTGTAATGGAAAGGATGATTCGCGGGCCTGATCGCCACTCACCAGCCACAAAAAAGAAAGCCCGATTCGCCGTCATTCCTTACGTACACAATTCAGCCCACCGGATAAAATCCATTGCCTCAAAGTTCGACACGAATGTTGTCTTCTCGTGCCGCATGCGTCTTAAACAACTCTGTCAACAAGTGAACAACAACCGGATTCCGATTGGCTGCACCGTCAAACACGAAAAGAAATTCATTCCATGCAAAGAGAAGAAAGTTTACTCCATCCCCTTGAGCTGCGGCCATCAATACATAGGACAGACCGGCAGATGCACCAATCACAGACTCCGCAAACATCACAACGAAGTTTCTAAGGCCTCTCCAGATTCTTATCATCCCATAGTCATACATGCCCGTTCGTGTTTGCATTGTCATCCCCTCTTTGATGGCACAAAAATCCTGGGGGGGCATGACAGCAGATTCGGCAGGGAAATCATAGAATCATTCGCGATGACCACAGCAAAAAACAATGTGTCTAACCCTTCCCTCCTGCTGACGAAAACCGACGTTGAATTTTTAAAATCCGAGATAACCCTACCACCCTGACTTGCACTTTGCGTTTCTTTTCTTTCCCTCTCTCCCGCTTCTCTCCCCTACTCCTACTGGGTATAGTCGGCTGCTCACTGTTTGAAAGTTTACTCGTCTGTTGCTAGTTGAAAGATGTGGTTGTGCTGTCCCTGTTTTAATTGTTTTATTCTTTCTTCATCCATGACTTAAACCAACACGCTCTTCTCCCAAGCAAGAAAAGGGTGCTGTACGACTAGCGGGTATTTTTGCTTTCAAAACTTTCGGCAAAGCTGCTGCAAGCTTTGCTTTGGCTTAGGCTAGTAATAAATGTCCACTTTTAATGTCTCCAAAGAAACATTGAGACACCCCACAAGTGTACAGTGCTTTAGGCGTTGCCGAAAAATTTTGAAAAACCGCTTCCCACTGTTTTATTGATTCCCAACGTGCCAGACTTTCGTCAAAAGTAAACGTAAAACAGTGGATTGCAAGCGTCCCGGCCGGTGTCTTTGTCGTGCAATGATGTTCGCATGCACGTCAGGGCAACTTCGGCAGGCTTGCAGCTGCACGTGCTTCGTCTTGCGAGCGGAGACAGCTGTTCGATCGAAACCGAAACCATGCCACTCCGCTCCGTCGCCAACTGGTCTCCAAAAATGTATGCAAAATGTAACTGCCCAGCATGCGACAAAAGCTTGCAAGGCCGGCAGGCGAAGTACAAGCTAAACATACAAAAAAAAAAAAAAAAAAAAAACCTGCGCGCATCGATGCAGGACATTGCGAGTCAGGGTCAAAACGTTTTTGGAGCGCTTTGTGCAACGACTGAATCGAGACAAACAATCGCGCTGTGCGGGTTCAGCGTGCAAACATTGCCTTATTTGCTTTTTTTTTTAGCTCACTTCTCTTCACAAACTTTTTTGCACGACAGATTTTTCATGTACCGGGGTCCCTCTCGAAAGAAAGCCAACCAAGAGAAACCTAGGTAATCAATACTTACACACAGCAGTCTTCGAACTAATGAGGGATTTTTTTGTAGTAGCGTATGTTTTAAACAAGAAGAGGAATGTTGATGAACATGCGGCGGTCCTTATGTTTCAGTTTAGGAAGCTCCATATCTGTAGCGACGTGCGAACTGGCAGGCAGGACCAAATATAGTTTTCCCACGGCCGTTGCTTGCAGAAGCGAGTGCTTCAGCTCAAAAAGTAACTCCCGCCGCGCAAAAACGTAAATTCGTTTCAGTGTGACGGCATGGCAGGTATCCAGCACGTTAGCGTCGGAGCGTCCACACATGCCCGCCATCTATCGTAAAAAAAAAAAAAAAAAAAAAAGCGAGACGACATTTACGAGACGACGAGAGCGCGAAAGCCGCGAAAGAGACGGCGGGAAAAACCATGCGAGACCGGGTGGGCGATTGATGTAACTAAAGAGAGGGTGCAGACAAGCTGGTTCAATACTGAGATTGGAGTTTTTAGCCTGTCCTACGTCCCTTCTTTTCCTGGGCTCCAGGGTTACAATGTCACGATTGATGCAGAGTACTTTGTGTCGGGTGGCCGCTTGCGCCACCGAGCGCACGCATACTCAGTTACGGTACTCAGTTTTGTCTCGGTTTTAAAAGGCGACCAAAACTGGTCCTTTGGCGCAGGCTTGGCGCAGATTACCCATATTTTGGCAAAATGTAGCAGGATGTAGCAGGGTTAGCCCCTTGGCGCAGTTTGGTGCAATTGGCGCAGCAATCACATCACTGGGAATGCCCCGTCGAAGGACCAAGTGTCGACGGACCCTTTTCAAAAGTTCATCGAGCAACATTGGCAGTCACCACTGCTTGGACAAGAAGGCTTGTGACTGCATCTGAGTCAACGCCGAAGTGGCGGCCCTCGCGTTCGATACACACTCGGAGTCTGTGATCGAGCAATGGCGGACGGGCATTGGCGCTGCCTTTTGAGAAGGGTCTATTTATGCCCACTGGGGGTCTCTGACGTGCAACTGAAATCTCCGCTGCACCTCTCTGCAACAAGAGGCCTTTGTGTCAGCTGGTGCTTTGCCTCGAAGCCTCCGACCTGGCACCGCAGACGTTGCGCAGGTTCGGGGGGAAGTAACGCTCGTCACACGAGGAGACCAAACTGGGTGCGCCGAGCGAGTAAATTATTCTCCATTTCAGACTGTAAAGTTCCATGCATTTAGCCTTCTTCATTTACTCTTTTATCATCATAATCGTTCAATACTCTCCCCTCCCCCCTCCCCCTCCAGGAGGATAAAGACCCTGTCACTTCTGCCTATCTAGAGGGGGTCCCTGAGACATCGGTGGTTAAAGCGGCTGCAGATAACAGTCGAATGGCACACTGTTCCTCAATGATGATCTTACAAACTAAAGTCGGTGATAGGTAATTTATGCTCGCCGAGGTTTTCATATGTACATAACATATGAGGGTCCAACTACCCAGAACACAATATGCAGCTCGAAATTCTTTTCTTTTTGCCCGAAAACCGCCGATCGAGAACTGGCCGGTTTGAGTTGCACTCACTCTCTTCTTCGTGGTCACGTGCTGTTCTCTCTGGTTTAGGCACACGCACCAAATATAATCAAACTCATAGGTCATCGAAGGCATATACTCAATATTAGAAATAGAAAAAATACAATACCCATATGTTGCGGTTTCTAAAAAGCTGCAAATATATTGATTGAAAATACAGCTGCACAGAGAACCGAAGTACTCTGTGCATTTTCTGCATAATTATAAACATGGCATTGTATTGCGAGAGTCATGGGCTGGACGGCTGAAAGCTGACTTAGCGATGGTGGCGGACAACGGGCGTGGACTGTCAGAACTGTCGTTCGTAGTACCGACAAATCTGTCTAGCTTTGAGAGATATTGTTTACCGATCAAAACAATTAGGATTTATTCCATACGACACACCCGACAACCAGGCTGATTCACTCGAAGACATTGCCAAGTCGTTGCCCCTTCTCCTGCCTGAGCAGATTGCTCGTCTTACAAACAGGAATTTGAAAGAGTTTGAAAAACGCGGAAACGTCAAGCATGAAATGCACGACGTTTCAGCATTTCTCATGCTTTGATTTTCATGCGACGTGCGCATATTTTATCTGCTTCAAACAACCAAAAAAAAATAAAAAAATAAGCGGTTGGGTGTAGTTACATGACGGGTGCATTCGTTATGCGTTGTATAATGAACGCAACTAAAATTTGTTCATTCACTTTATGATTAGTGAAGACAAACGCACGGTTCCAATTAGAAACTTGCCGAGCATCATCAAAAACC